TTTTTTTTTTTTTTTTTGAATAATGTTAGGTATAAGTAAAAGCATTCATTAAGATTATTTTTTTTACAGTTCATTATTTTCTAATACTATTTATCATCTTAATGCTTGTTCTGAATGGACGTGACAAATGTACTGCAAATTTACAGCCATGAAACTAAAGCTGTTTTTGTTTAGTCTTATCTTTCAGATGAAACAAATTGCAACTGGTGGACGAGATGGAAAAATTGCAAACACAACTGAGAAAGTTCTGGAATTACCACCTCCCATGAATGTGAAAACTATGAATAAAGCCTCTAGTCCTCCACATCTTTTACTGTTCAATATTGATTCATTAATAGGCAAGAAAAATTTTCATATTTCGAATTAAAAATAGATTTCAAGGCTTCGATTCTTGGTTTTTTTATTTTTTATTTTCTTGACATTACAGCTGGACTCGTTTCTCTTGAAAATGCTCTGTCATCTGGAGAAAGCATGGAAAACAAATCGTTGTCTACAATATTGATGAGTAAACAAGTCTCAGATTCCAGAGCTGCATCAGAGTCTAAAATTGCATGGCAAACTGGATCTAGCCTTTACTTGGATGTCGCGAAACTGTGTATGAGTTTGTTGCATGCTTGGACTCTCGATCGCGATTTAGATAAAATTTGCCTGAGGAAACTACGTCTTCTGAAACCAGCCATTCCACTGAGTTATGGTGTTGTATCACGACAAGGTTCGTGATATGGTTTTTCTTACTTTCTGTTTAACTGTTTTGGTAGGAGCTCGTTATACGTTTTTCGGATAAGAAGAAATTGTGCTGTGTAACTTTCATCTAAAGAAATCATTGAGACATTAAAGTAAATAACGAGAGGAAACAGTGTGAAAGAGAGAAATGAAACAAAATAAAATGGAAGAGATGACGAACGGTTGTGTCCTTTCACGTCTACAAGTGACATTTATTTGTGCTTATTCTATTATTGATTTGATCAGTATTACTGAGTCATATTTTATATCCTGAAAAATTAATACCATTTTAGGCCATACGGGAGTTTTCATGCCTACAGAAAAATTTATTGATGATATTTCATTTGATACTTTCGCGAGTTCCGTGCGATGGACTATTAGTAGTTCACTAACGACATCTCATTTGGTGACAGTTATTGCTCTCACGAATACGTTAATGTCTTTACGAAGTGCTTCTTTTGATATTGCTAAGCGAAATATCCTTCTGAGGTTATCTAATTCTTTAGTTAATTATGTTATGTGCGTAAATTGTTCACTGAATATATTGGTTGGATTTATTTTGCCTGTGAACTAGTTTATTCATAGTATAACTAATCTTGGCTTTTTTCATTAATTACTTTTAAGAAACTCACAGTTACGTTCATCTGGTTCTGATTTTCACGATGGCGATTCGCAGTTAAGACAAGGCTGGTCGTTAATTGCTGCACTTCATTGTTGTCTTCTACCTGATCTCATTAAACCAAAAAATGCTTACTGTTCACCGAGGATAGAATTGTTAGCAAGAAGGCATATATTTTTGCTCTTCATTTTATAGATTGAATGAAATAGTGATATAAATGATCAAATTATGCTTGTCTGACCTACAACCTAATAAACTTCAGATGGCAAGACCGATGTTTGGAAGTAAGAATGGCAGCGCAGGCGCTGTTAACACGAGAATTAACACGTTTAAGTGTCAGCGGACGTAAACGATTGCTAGAATCGTGGTCTGCGTTTCTTCCAACTCTTCTGGATCCAACTCTTTCAATTTTTGGTAATCGCGCATTAGTAGCATCCATGAATTCGGCTCTTGAAACTAACAGCGTTCCTCAGCCACCTCCAATTCCTCAACGTATTGGAGAAATCGCTCTTCCTGATCCAACTATTAATGGTAAATATTGTTTGAGAAGCATAAGAGAAATCGTATTTCATATAATTAAAATGAGTCATCTCTAATATTCGCTCAGTAGGTATCATTATTTTTAAATACTTGCTTATTTTTCTGTAATTAAAATCAAATTTTAAGGGGGCTAATTATTGTAAAAATGATTTTACTGATATTGTATATATATGCCTAATATTCTTACTTGGCTTTAGTGGATATCAAATTATCAAAAGAGGCAGGTGTGCAGCAAATTCGCCGAAATCAAGCTACTTCATTAATATTACTTGGCGTCATTGGTGCCGAATTTCCGGATGAAATGAGCAAAGTTGTTTATTTAGTTTTATTGTTGTAATTTTGCATCGATTATCCTGGTATTTATAACCAATATTATTATTTATTAGTCAGTAATCTCTTGTGTTCAAGGCTATAATTTTATAGTTAGACATTTCTCGAGCTACTGCACAATCTCTTTTGGAATTACTGATTGCCCCACCATCGATATTGTTACCGTTACATTCTCCTCTTCGTCGCGCAGCAGTAGATCTGATTGGACGAGGTTTTGGGGTTTGGCAACCTCATCTAGATATCAGCAAACTATTACTTATTCTTTTGGAATTAGCGACAGCTACTGAGAACCAATCACTGTGATTATTTATTAGTGGTTTGGATTAAAATATCCCTGTTTAACTTTCTGTTGAAGTTTTTTTTATTAGACATCAATTTAGAAATTTTTTAGAGACATGACTTCTGCAATTTTAACTCCATCACTTGATGTTTGCCGTACTGCACGTCATACGTTAAGTTTAATTGCTACTTCGCGTCCACCTGCTGTGATTACTGCATTGAGTAAAGAGGTTCGTTTTTGTGGTACAAGAATTTTTTTTGAATGTTTTACAGTTGATGCAAAAACTAAGTCATTCTTTTATGATTTGTAATGTCTCCCTCACGAAACTTGGCTATACAACATCATTTCATGTTCTGAGCATTTTTACAAGAAGTGTTCATTTTGATGTTTTTTTCATACGTTATATTCAGAAAACTCCTTTCTCTAGGTGGCTCGTTATAATAGTGTAGTACAGCACCAAACAATTCAACACTCTGCGACTAGTCCTTTATTGAAGTCTCGAGTAGAGGTGTTACGAATCATTGAATTGCTTTCAGAAAAAGAATATACAAATGTTGTTGACTTGATCATCCCGGTAATTTTTTTATGAAAAATTTTCAGTTTATGCAAATTTAGTAATGAAGCGATTCCTCATAATTAATTACTTTTTAACTAATGCAAAATAAATCCTTTCAATCAATCACTTTGATAAATTTTTCCGGTTGGTGATATTCTTGTTCATTGTTTGGATACATCATTACTGAAACACAAATCCCTATCAGAAATTTTCCCACCAATAACAAGGTATATTTGTGGTATTTGATATAGCTTACCGTATAGTTTTCAGATACCTTGCATAATATATTATTCATTCAAAAAAGTTTTCTTGTTATGAAGATTATTCATAAATTAATTTTTAAAGGTTCTATATGGTTTCATATTGCCCCAATACTCGTCGCATTGCATTTGGTGGGCGGAATGGCATAGTTGTAGTTCATGAGCTAAGAGCTGCTAAAGTACAGGTTAGTTAATGAAGTTCTTATTTCAAATTTGACATTTGGAAAAAGGCTATTTGTCTTGTTTGCAATGTGCATTTCGTGGCAGACTTGCTTTTCTTCAGAGTTTTTTGAAAAATTGCTTCTAAGATTCAATTTGACAAGGCAACTTCTCGTCATTGAAAGCATTTCTTCACCGCAAGAAGATTTCAGACACTACAAGCTCACAAAGGAGCAGTGACATCTGTGGCATTTTCGGAAGATGGAAAATTTCTTGCTACTTATGGAGCAGAAGAAGCCAAATTATTATTTTGGCAAACTTCACAGACATTTCTGGTCAGTTTGTTTCTTTGGTTTTGTTTTTTTTGCCTTTTTTTTATAGTTTGAGATCTTTAAAAGTTTTGAAATTTTTTTCTTGTAAGTGGTTTTTTAGCTTTGAAAGATAAAAGAAGTAGTGAAATTGAATTTCGCAGTGATTCTAGCCATCAGGAAACTTGGCAGTTGTATTGATTACATTATCAACTTATGCTAATCGTTCATTATGTCTCCCAATTTAGGGAATGGGACAAAGTCAGTTGAAATGTGTGAGGTCACTGTCAGCACCCGGGATCTTTCCGGTTTTCTCTCCAAATGGCACATCTCAGCCATTTAGAGCTCGTTTAGTGTGGATTTCGCACAAATCAGTCACGTTGATGCTTCCAAGCAACAAAGAGTACAGGTTCGCTTTCTGAGAGCAAACTTGTGGAACTAATTTCACTGTATTTCCAACTGAGAATAGAATTTCTTTGCAAGAAACAAAACATTCTTGTTTAAAATTTCTTGTATGATTCAAGTTGTATAATTGGAACTGATATGTGAGTTTTATCGTCAGTTAATGCAAAGTTAGTTCGTTGTGAATGTAATTTTTCAGAGTGTAGTATAAGTATGCTCTGTTCACTACATTTTATTTTATCACTTATCTTTGTTGCGCACAATTTCATTCCCATTTAACATTTGATCTGTATATATTATACTTCT